CCTCTGATAAAACATTAGCTAATGCAAATTTTATTACTTACCTTGTGAAGTTATTAAAATCAGTAATGAGTGAAGAAGTGTTAATCATTTTTTTCTAAAATGCTATCATTAGCTGTTTATTCACATTTGTCTTATAAACTCTAAGTTTAAAAAAGAAGAGACCCAAGAATAAACAATGCTATATTATTCCAAGAACTCACAATCTTATTTAAGGTTAAGAAACAAATATTTTTATGCCCACAATGATTTTGCTATCAATAGCACATAGTTATTCTATTCCAAAGGGTAATAAAGAACATCTAAAGACCAGATACAAGATCTAAAATTAGAATCAAATCATAAGCATAAATTACTGTTCATCATGTTAGAATAAAAGTAATTTTAAATGCTATTCATTAGTGAATTTATCATTTTGGCTATTTTGAGAGAAATAGGAAGGGAGAAATTAGAGAAACATATTTAAAAATAAAAATATATGACTCTCTGCAGTTCCCTTTCTGGTTAAAGAAAGAATCTTTCATAGATCAACAGGAATAAATTAAAGATCTATCCAAACTTCTACCATGAAGTAGAGCTATCTTCTAAGTCTGGAGGACTCTTAAAATTATTGTATGAACATTTAGCCCCTAAGTAAAGTTGCCATAACTCTGCCTTCACATTGCTTGGGAGCAGAAGTAGGCACAAAAAAAACCAGGCAGGCTCACTGTGTCTACTGAAAGAGGTATAATCAATAAGTTGCACTCTTCCGAATAGGGTAGTGGAATGCTTCTGCTTCATCTGTTCTCACAGATGACAGCACCTATAAAACCTACATTTGGATAAATGTCAGGAAGCAATCAACAGTAGTCACCAAAGCACCTACTGCGTGCCTACAACTGTCTTGTTGCTATGGAGAAATATAAAGATTAGGAGATACGTATTGGTCTTGCCTCCAAAAGCATACACCATGGCTAAAATGTTTTTATTTCTTTTTTTTTAATTAGAAATTCTAATTTCTAAGAAATGAAACGTGTACTATGTTCACATTAACCTAAACTCCTTTTTTTAGGTCTGAATCCTTTCTAAGAAAGGCAGGTTAATTTGGGCTTTGTTAGAATTGGCAGATATTGCTGATTAAAAAAAACTACTCTCACAAAAACTTCAGTAATAAAGTGATTAGTAACCACTAAAACTCATTCTGCAAATCACATTACACTTCTTAGGGAAAAGGCATTACAAAATGCTAAATAATACCATCTAAGTGAGGAAAACAGCTTTAAACACTCAGTCCTTGTTTGGTTACACATGTCAAAGCTTAGATTTCCTAAACTAAGTCTTACTTAAACTAATTATAGCTTACAAATGCTTTATATATTCTACTGGACTTAATTTTGAACATAATATTATCAAGTACTGCCAAACCATTTCTGATAATTACAGCACTTTGTTTTGAAAATTTGAGGAAATTCTAATTAATTGAAGATTATGGGGATCCCATCTGTGGACTGCATGACCACAGACCCTCCCTCTGAGGTACAGCCTTCAGCACAGAACTGAAGTCAGGGAAAACATCCCCACCATAGGATTCTGTGTCCTACAAATAGAAAGATTTTTTGAGCTCCCGGAAGATCTCACTTCTAGTTGTCATTAAATAAATGCAAATGATACTTTTCTCAAGCAAGTGGTCATTCAGAAAGCCTTCAATGTCACATACCTGCAGAAATATGTACTAAGTAAGAGTAAATACCTCTAGTTTCTAAGGGCCAATGGCTCTTACATTGAATGGTTGGCCACTGTGCCCACACATGCTATGACTTAATGTGGACTGTGGCATTTTTAACCTGCTATCAATATCCAACCTGTATTAAATGGGCAGAGAAGTCAGATCTTGAAGGGACATTACAAACCTATATAGCTGTAAGGTAGCAAAGTCCTGTGTCTGACACACAACTGTTTAAGGAAATTGCTAACTTGATGGGTTTAATATCCACTAAAACAACAGCTCAAGCAATTCTACTGTTGTGTCCTCAATGTACATTGTCTCAGATATTTCATAAAATTGCTAAACCACACAAACCATATAATGTTATTTTCTAATTTGTACAATTTAATGCATCCTCATGGGAGCATAATGATTATGTTCATAAAAGTTATAAAGCAATTATATATTATATTTACATACATACACTATAAAAATAACTCACTCCTTACATCAAATCTGTGATCAATAGAAATCAACACAATTTCATAGATAAGGAGATATTGAGATAAGCTGCCTAGAAATCAATTTGGAACAAAAATATGAATTCATCGTCTTTAAATTCCCAGCCCTTGTAAGTTCTCCATCCCTCTTTCTCTAATTAATTTCAGCAAAATTAAAGTTCATACAGGATTTCTTTACTACTCAGCTATTCTACTCTTAAAATAAGTAGGACTAGGAAGGAAAACTATTATTAAAGTCCCATGGCAAATTAAAAAGCTAATAGAAACCCAGGCAGCTATCATTTCACAATTAGGCTGTTTTGGGTGCAGCTTGTTTCTAGGGAGTGGAACAGTCAACTGGGAAACCCAGAGGATCCATACAGACACAGACTCAATTGTTGAAAAAGTTTGAAATGGGCTTAGCGCCCATGGCTCAGTGAGTAGGGCGCGGGCCACATACACCAAAGCTGGAGGGTTTGAGCCTGGTTGGGGCTTGCTCAACAACAACATTGTCATTGTCATTGAACAACAATGACAACAGCAACCAAAAAAAAAAAAAAGTGGCTGGGTGTTGTGGCGGGCGCCTTTAGTCCCAGCTATTTGGGAGGCTGAGGCAGAAGAATTGCTTAAGCACAAGAGTTTGAGGTTGCTGTGAGAATGACGCCACGGCACTCTACCCAGGGCAACATAGTGAGACTCTGAAATCACTCCAACATTTGATTAGTTTTCAAAGTTCAGGTCCTAACCAAGATATGAGGAAGTTGCTTAATCTAAATTATTATGATCTACTAGGCATTCCAATTCAACACACTGATAAATCCCACTCTGTTCAACATAAAAATAAACAGGCATAAAACTTCTATTGCAAACCAGTATAAATAGTTAAGTTACATCTCAACTGATGAGCCTATCCAGACTCTTTTAAGATACAGGTTATTTCTGTTACCTCTAAATGTGTAGCTTCTAAGAAAAGGGTCATTAACTTACTTTTCTGGGAATAGTGTAAATCAAATTACATGAATTGTAAAAATACCAATTCACCTTATGAAAGACTTATTTGTTGAGGGGAAAACAGCTATTCAATTTTTGTGAGAAAACAGGAAAAAATAAGAACACGGAAATTTATCTATGTTGATAGGATATGTTATCCCAATAAAAAATCTGCATGATAAATAAAAATTGTTATTTTAAACATAAATAAAATATTTTTATATAAAATATATTGTCCAATTTGAAACTAAGTCCAAATTTTCTTGTAAAATAGCCTCTAGGGCCCTAGCTGATACAACAAGAACTCAAGAACATGTAATAAACAAATATTAATTACACAATTTTCATTAGTGACTTTTAAACTTTATAATCTTTTAACATCTCTTTCAATAGTAAAAACATCTTTTGTCAAGAATTTAGATTCTATTTTAATCCTTAACAAGCCAATTATCTTTTTTGTATGTTTAAAATGTAAACAGCATTTGACACAACATAATTGCAAAATACGTGAATAAATTTAAAAACGGCTAAAATTTTCAATTATTAAAATTCAGCAATTTAACTGATTTTATCCTGACAAAAGAGTAAATTATACTTTGAAATTTACATACTTTTTCTGTCAATTTTATCCATTTTATTGACTTTTCAATTAACTACAGTTAGTTTGGACAGTAAATCAGAAAATACTTTCTATGGAGGCTGGCTTTAAATTGCACTTTTTAACCCAAAAATGTTATCCAGAGCCATTTCAGATAAATGTAACTAAAGTATCTTTACATTCCCTTGAGTCCTTCAACTTAGAATACAATAACCTTCTTAAGTGGGAAGAATTCTTATTCACTTAATTGCAGCACTGTTTTAGTGCAGGAGCAAGAAAAGGCAAAAAGAAGTCCATAGAAAGGATTGCATTATTAATAAACTATTTGCTATCTGAATGTTAGGTTTCCACAGAAATATTTTGCTGTATGTTTTTAAAATCACTTCCCAAGTGTAGCTGTTTCATCCCAGGACAGTTTTTTATTACCTATTTTCATTTTATTTTATAATAAAATACTCTTTATCAAGTTACTTATTCGGGTTATTACCAGCACATATTTTCTATACCTCCAGTTCAAGATCATGTAATACTTAGTTTCAGTTATGAATTATATATGTGTGTATATATATAACACATTTATATACTGCAATAATACACAAGAATGAATACAAGTTATTTCCATAAAATACAATTTCTAATCAATTTAGGATACTTCCAAAGTATTAGAAAATTAAATACTTAAAACACAAGGTAATAATCCCTTCTGTTACAGAACACCAGTCAGGTGAGATCTGAAAGAGATTCTTTATTGGTAGTCAAATACAGTTGACTCTGTAATCTCTGTGTTTTCTTGCTATTTAAGAAAAAATATAGAACCTAGACATTTAAAACATTATCAGTGTAATAATCACTACAGACTTTCACTGGATCTTTTTAAAATTTCATTAAAAATTATCAAAGTCATGATGAACACAATTATTGCAGCTACATCATTGAAAAGTAGTATAAATTATGCTGCCAAAAACAAAAACACTGAAATACATAAACATCACAATGTAACACAGCAGTAACTCATAACTATTTCATATGAAAAATTAAATTTAAAAAGTTATGTTGGAGAACTTGGGAATTTTTTACTTTAGCAAAACATTCTACTTATGTATCTCCAACTTCTATGATACAGTATACAATAAAATACTTCTAAAAGACATTCAATGCTTCATTTACACAAATAATATTGCCAGTACTAATAAAGTGATGCCCTTAAACATGAACTGCTCTGCTAATTGTGATTTTAAAATGTTTTCTTTACTTCACTTTACATTTTAATCAGCAATTAGCATTACATATTAATCAGTTCTGTGCTGACAAATAAGAGGGGTCCTAGTCAAAATACTGTTTCTCAAAAGTAATGTACATCATATTGCTTGAAACTAAACAACCATATAAAAGTGGCAATAATTTATCTAAACATTGATTATGAAAGACCACTGGCATATATTCAGGCAGAGGGTTGAGTTCATGATGATTTATTTACAATAAATATGTAATGGAAATGAACATGATACGTTTTTATGTCAATTCCTACAGTCTCTTAAAGTTATAAAAATATTATATAAAATACCACAGGTTTTAGAGGCTATAATTTCATGTGGTTCCAGTACTAGCAGCTGAAAAGTATTTATAATTTAAAAATAAATAAACTATAGAGGTAAACCAGTTACAAAACAGCAGAGGACTGCAATAGTCACAAGAGTGAAAAGAATTGCTTAATTACACATCAGCTAACAAAATGGTGAAGCAGTTGGATCAAAAGTTTTAAAAACCTCTTTCAGAGACTTATCATCTGTTTCTCTACTGGTATCACTGTCTGGTGTTGGGCTCACCTGTCCTGGCTGCCTTGATTGCCTGGGATCGCTGTACTGGGGTCTAATTAAGCCTGATAATGCCTGAATAGGAAGACTGTGCACTGCTGGGACCTGAACCTTACCAGAACTCCTGAGATCTGCCTGTGGGTCAGCTGGCCCATCAACAGTGACTTCCATGTTTGGAGTGGTTTTCTGTGGCAGGATTGTTTCTTCAGGAGAAGGCTCATTTTTGTCACTATTTTTTAAACTAATACTTTTTTTCTGGTTCTCTGCATTTTCTCCTAAAGAAACTGTTGCAAGCTCTGATGTAGATGATGAATTATGATCCCTAGAGTCATACAAACTAATACCACCAAGAACTGAGCTTGAAGTTCCCAGTGGAAGGCCAGCTGAAGACAAGAGTTTAGGGGCATAGGGGGGCAGAGCCCCAGGACCAGAGTTGCTAGCTCCTGGCCCCAAGGACTGTGATGAACCAGGGTTTGATCTGGCTAACTGAGGGGTGGCCTTTGATGTATGTGCATCTTTGATAATCACTTGGTGAGACTCTGTATTGGGTTGCCTGTGAAGCCTAGGGTCAAAATTTTTTTGCAGCCTAGGATCTCCTAATTTACTTCCTGAACTATGTAGGTCTCCAAACTGTTCTAGGTAAGTTTCTCTGTTTGTTGTGTTAATTTTGGCTTTAGCTGCTAATTTTGGATCAGTAGCCACTGTATTTTGATGAAGATCACTTTTTGTATTCCATAACCTATTAAGCCTCTGGTCAGCTATAAGTGGGGGCAGAGGTAAATTGATTGAAGATACTGGATCAGGTTTAGGTAAAGGTACTGGAAGTAAGTCTTCTGGAGCCCACACGATGTGTTTTGCAAAATTAGGTTTGGTTAGGATAATGTCCATTTTAATGTGACTGAACTGTCTCAGTTGTGACCTTGGATCCTGGAGCATTATACCAGGTGGAGCATCCAAAGGTATTATAAAAGCTTTTTCTCTCAGTTCTCTTTCTGTATCTTCATCGTCATCATCTCCTCTTTTGTGTTTCGCATTAGTGCCAGCATTTGTGTGATGTAAATCAAACTTTGCCCCACCAACAGAAGAGCCTATGTGACTACTTCCATTCCCTCTTAATTTCCTGGGATCCCACGCAAGTCTAAGATCCAGGGGAGCAGGCTCAGAAGGCTTTTTAATGTCATGCCTTGGGACAGTCCTAAGTCTAGGGTCAACCACTTGATTTCCTTTACTTTTCTCTTTAGCAAGTCTTGGATCGGTAGGAGTGCCGAGTTCTGTGGAAGGTTGTTGCTGACTTCGTAAAGATTCTGTTTGTCTCTGTAACGTTTTCAGTATTGACTTGACGCTGCTTCCTTCTTCTTCTTCACTACTGGAATACCAGTTAACTGTATCATCTAAATGCAGACAAAAACTTATTGTAAAGAATGAAGTATTTATATTTGGCCTTAATTATTAAGATAAAAAGTACATACTATATATTTCTAAAGTAAGTGTAGTTTAATTTCAAGAAAATGCATGACAGAAATGGCAGGTTTTAATAATTGGAATAAGATGTGGTAAGACAATTACCAATTCAATCGTTATACTCTGTAAAGGAAGAGGTACAATATTAGAATAAGTGTAAGGTCCCTCCAGTGAGAGAAAAATCAGGACCTTTCATTCCAACTGACCAAAAGAAATTGAGATGTGTGTGTGGTATGTATGACAGCAATGGGGTAGAAGGGAAAATACTGTCAGAAAGGCACATTCTAAAATGGTTTTGGAATCTTCAACTGAAGCATATTTTAAACTTCACAACTCTGGATTTATCAAGAGGGATGGAGAGAAAACAAAACACTGTAAATGATGATTAAGGGCGCAATGGAAACTGAGTAAATGAGGAATGAGATAGACTTCTCATTTACACTTTATGATAGTTTTGGATGTTTGACCCATGTGAATTTATCAACTACTCAAAAATTAAATTTAAAAATAACAAAATAACTTCCTAAAATTTACGTACTCTTAACTTTATAAGGACACTTTTGGCCTTATTCCTAAAGTCTATTTAACTCTAGTGTGTTAAATACAACTTCAAGAAGCATACCTATCAAATATCTTCTGTCTAGCAGACTAGAGGGAATTAACAAACAGATTCAGGAGGGTGATTTTCTCTCTTCTCCATTAAATTACATACAGGTTGGCTCTGAACTGATCAGAGTATCTACTTTTCACATTCTTGCCAGAACATAGAATACAGATATATATTGTATGTGTGTGTATATTCATCTTAGAATATCTTAGAGCAACAGAACATCCTAGATATTCTCATTTTTACCCCATTTCACGGCTCATGAATGTGTTTCTATTACATGAAACTTTAGTGTTACAGGTTTAGTTAGAATAGAGCAGTACTTATAAAACAAGCATTGGAATTTAGGGTAGAATGTGGTTTAAAACAGCACATAGAATATCAAATGGCAAAAAGCTTTAATCAGATATAAGTCTGAATAAACTACTTGTAGACACTAGATCTCTTTTGTTCTCTTTGTTATCAAGGAATCCTTGATTTGGACTTGTGATTATTTTTGTCTGTTGTAGTTGTATTAAATATTTCTCTATAATAATTTTATTTTCTATAGTATTTATTGCTTCTATCCTTATTTTATTTGCATTTTCATTTCAATATATTTTATAAACACTCTTAAATCCTTTTTAAAATAAGAGCAAATACAGTAACAGAAGGAAAACAGAAGAGCTGAGATAGGTCAATGGAAAAATAGATATTAGAAATTGATACTTAAAGCTTTTCATCAAAGGATAGATGAGATTCATAAAAGCATTAATATTTACAAAAATGAACACAAACAAAAAATTCTAGCTGTTAAAGATTATTTCTTTAAATGAAAAAGAAATCTGAAAACAAAAGATTATTTCTGTATGTAGAATAAATAATCTATACAGAACATCACCAACATATAATATTATAATATAAAATTTTATATTATCTAGAAGCTTTAATTTTCTTTTTAATGAAAATGTAAAATCTGTAAGTCTTTACAGAAAGATCAGCTTTAAAGTTGTTGTTTTTTAAAATTAAATTTTGGAAGCCTTCCTCAAGAGAACAGGAAGATAGGAAGTCAACAACTTAATGGGACATCTTAAACAACTGGAAAAGGAAGAACATTCCAACCCCAAACCCAGCAGAAGAAAAAAAATTACCAAAATTAGAGTAGAATTAAATGAAATAGAAAACAAAGAATTATTCAAAAAGTCAATGAATCAAAAAGTTGTTTTTTTGAAAAGTTTAACAAAATTGATAAACCTTTGGCTAGCCTCACCAAAAACAGAAAATTAAAATCCCTAATATCATCAATCAGAAATGACAAAAGGCGAAATAACAACAGACACCTCAGAAATTCAAAGAATTCTTAATAAATATTACAAAAACTATATTCTCAGAAATATGAAAATCTGAAACAAATTGACCAATACTTGGAAGCACCTTCCTAGACTTAGCCAGAAAGAATTGGAAATGTTGAACAGACCTTTATCCAGTACTGAAATAGCATCAACTATATGAAATCTCCCAAACGAGAAGAGTCCAGGACCAAACGGCTTCACGTCAGAATTCTACCAAACCTTTAAAGAGGAACTAGTACCTATACTACTTAACCTTTTCCAAAGCATAGAAAAAGAAGAAATACTTCCCAACATATTCTATGAAGCAATATCACCCAGGAAAAGACTCAACAAGAAAAGAAAATTATAGACCAATATCTTCAATGAATATGCATGCAAAAATATTTAATAAGATCCTAGCAAACAGAATCCAGCAACATATCAAATTATACACCATGACCAAGTGGGTTTTATCCCAGGGTTTAAGGATGGTTTGATGTATGTAAATCTATAAATATAATACAACACATAAACAAAATAAAGAAGACCATATGATTCAATCGATGCAGAAAAAGCTTTTGATAATATAAAGCATCCCTTTATGATCAGAAAATACCATTTAAGAAAATAGGTATAGAAGGGACATTTCTTAAACTGACAGAGATCATCTACAGCAAACCCATAGTCAATATTGTATTGAATAGAGTAAAATTGAAAATATTTCCACTTAGTTCAGGAACCAGGCAAGGTTGCCTGCCCATTGTCTCCACTGCTTTTCAACATTGTAATGGAAGTCTTAGCTATTGCAATTAGGCAAGAAAAGGCGATCAAGTGTATCCATATAGGGTCAGAGGAGATCAAACTTTCACTCTTTGCAGATGATATGATCATATATCTGGAAAACCCCAGGGATACAACTACAAAACTCTCAGCAGTGATTGAGGAATATAGCAGTGTCTCAGGATACAAAATCACTACTAACAAATCAGTAGCCTTTATACATACCAATAATAGTCAAGCTGAAAATATACTCAAGGACTCTATTCCTTTTACAGTAGTGCCAAAGAAGATGAACTATCTGGGAGTTTACCTATCAAAGGACGTGAAAGATCTCTATAAAGAGAACTGTGAAACTCTGAGAAAAGAAATAGCTGAAGAAACAAATGGAAAATTAACAAGAAAATTAACAAATTAATAAATGGAAAAGCATACCATGCTCATGACTGGGAAGAATCAACATTGTTAAAATGTCCATACTACTCAAAGCAATACACAGATTTAATGCAATCTCTATTAAAGCACCACTGTCATACTTTAAAGATCTGGAAAAAATAGTACTCCATTTTATATGGAATCAGAAAAAACCTCAACAGCCAAGACATTGAAATAAAAACAAATCAGGAAGAATCATGCTACCAGACTTCAGACTATACTATAAATCAACAGTGATCAAAACAGCATGGTACTGGCACAAAAACAGAGCAGTAGATTTGTGGAACAGAATAGAGAACCAAGAGATGAACCCAGCTACTTATTGTCATTTGATCCTTGATAAGCCTATCAAAAACCAATATTGGGGGAACAATTCCCTATTCAACAAATGGTACTGGATGAACTGGCTGGCGACCTATAGAAGACTGAAACTGGACACACTCATTTCACCTTTAACAAAAATAGATTCTCACTGAATAAAAGATTTAAACTTAAGACATGAAACTATAAAAATACTAGAAGAGAGTGCAGGGACACTTGAAGAAATCGGCATGGGAGAATATTTTATGAGGCAGACTCCCTGGGCAATTGAAGCAACGCCAAAAATACATTACTGAGATCTGATCAAACTAAAAAGCTTCTGCACAGCCAAGAACACAGTACATAAAGCAAGCAGACAGCCTGAGAATGGGAGAAGATTATGTATAGAGAAGATTATGAAGGTTATGTCTCTGACAAAGGTTTGATAACCAGAATCTACAGAGAATTCAACTATATTAGCAAGAAAAGAACAAGTGATCCCATCTCAGTGTGGGCAAGAGATTTAAATAGAAACTTCTCTGAAGAAGATAGGTGCATGGCCTACAGACACATGAAAAAATGCTCATCATCCTTAATCATCAGAGAAACATAAATCAAATCCACCTTGAGACCCATCTACCTCCAGTAAGATTAGCCCACATCACAAAATCCCCAAACTATAGATGTTGGCATGGATGTGGAGAAAAGGGAACACTTCTGCACTGCTGGTAGGAATGCAAACTAATATGTTCGTTTTGGAAAGATATTTGGAGATCACTTAGGGATCTAAAAATAGACCTATCATTCGATCCTACAATTCCTCTATTAGGTATATATCCAGAAGACCAAAAATCACTTTGTAACAAAAGATATTTGCACCAGACTATTTGTAGCCCAATTCATAATTACTAAGGTATGAAAGAAGCCCAAGTGCCCATCGACCCATGAATGGATTAATAAATTGTGGTATATGTACACCATGGAATATTATGCAGCTTTAAAAAAGATGGAGAGTTCACTTCTTTTATGTTTACATGGATGGAGCTGGAACATATTCTTCTTAATAAAGTATCTCAAGAATGGAAGAAAAAGTATCCAGTGTACTCAGGTCTACTATGAAACCAATATATAATCACCCCCACTTCCATATGAAAGCTATAACCCAACTACAGCCCAAGATGAAGGGGAAAGAGAAAGGGAAGAGGAGGGGAGGGGGAAGGATGGGTGGATGGAGGGTAATTGGTCGGACCACACCTATGGAGCATTTTACAAGGGTACATGTCAAATTTACTAAGTGTAGAGTATAAATGTCTTAACACAATAATTAAGAAAAGTACAGTGAAGGCTATGTTAACCAATTTGTTGTATTTCAAATGGTATATAAAACCACCCCGTAAATGCATTATTGTACACAGCTAGGATTTAATAAAAAAATAAATAAAATTAAATTTTGGGATGTAAAGAAGTACATTTAAATTATACAGGAAATTCACTTAGTAGAGATCCCTCATTCCCCTATGTGATACTTGATAAATAACGTTAATTTTACCTCTTTAAAAATATAGCATAAATAGCTTGTGGCTACCTAGTATTACCTAGTTTTACATAGTTATTCATAAATTTCATGTTTAAGAGTAGCCAAATGTCAATTTTGTAATTCATAAAAAGAATCGGATGCATTAGTATATGCGCTGCTGAAGTGAGCACAAGAACTAGATACTTTAAACTTCTCTCATCCTTAAATGAATTAACTAATTGCTGTATACTTACCAATATCAAAAAATCTAAGGTAAACACAATTATAAGAGGGACTTTACCTAACAAATGCAATCAGTATAACCTGGTTCTTTATACCCTCAACGAATCCCCAACAATAAAAAAAAAAAATCTAAGGTAAATATACAGTTTCCATAGAACCTTTTCATATTAAAAACTGTATTTCTCAAGAATATGGCAGAACCTTGATTATACAGCATTATGTCCCCAAACTTTCACTAATAACTGAATCATTTTGAAGTTGCGCTAGAAGTCAAAACCCTCAAGGCAGAAGGTATCTTTTTTCTGTTCTATTTCTTCTTTTAAAAAAAAAAAAGGCTTAATTGCTTGCAAGTTTGATCACCTAGGCCTTGAACACTAGGTTCAAATCTATTCACTGCTTTAACTCTGACCTTCTGCAAAGGCAATTAATTATTAATATATTAACAACACTGAAACTACAGTCAATCTCAAGAAGATAAGGAATACTAGGTCAACTTGAAATAGAACAGATAGTTCAGAGGAAAAAATGTTAATCTACCCAAATAAGATGCTATTAATAACACCTGACACACCTTCTTCCTTGCTTGGTATCCTATGAGGTTGGGTGCTGGTTTGTTCTTCATCTTCTTGGTATCTCTGAGTAAGTCTGACAAAAAGAGCTCTCTGCACTGCAGGGAGAAGCCCTGGTGCAGGAAGAGGGCCATGGCCTGTCCTGCTGCTGCTGGCATCAGACCCACTCCCACAGCTAAGTGAGTCTTGAAGAACTGGAGGCTGCTGCTGGGCAAATTCACCATGCCACATCCCATCTACACGCATAACACAGGAGAGACAGACACTGAGTAAGCATCAAATTCCACCACAGTCATAATAAATGGAAGCTCTCATAATAATTATATTGGATGATCAAATTATTATGTACTTAAAAATATTTTTTAGAAAAAATAAAAATAAAAATAAATATTTTTTAGGGTAGTGCCTGTGGCTCAGTGGTTAGGGAGCCAGCCCCGCATACCAAGGGTGGCAGGTTCGAACCTGGCTGCGGCCAAATTGCAACAAAAAAATAGCTGGGCATTTTGGAGGATGCCTGTAGTCCCAGTTACTTGGGAGGCTGAGGCAAGAGAATCGCCTAAGCCCAGGAGTTGGAGGTTGCTGTGAACTGTGAT